ATATATATATATATATATATATATATATATATATATATATAGGAAAACACATGAAACGTGTGAATGCTGATCAGAAACAGACCTTGAAATCCTCGTCCACCAAGAAGTCACAGCCAATCAGGTCAAAGAGTCCCAGACGGCAGTTCAACTTGGACTTGACTGAGAAGAAGCACTGGGTCATGATCTGCTGCATGCGCTTCTGATGCATGGACAGAAAACTGTGTCAGTCAGGCAGTTCATCGTCCTGCAGCATTCAGACAGACACGTGAGCTGAAATAATCAATATTATTTTAACAAGTTATAGAATCCGTGGGAGTTTTGAAGAAACGTCTGTGACATCAAGACTGAAGTGACGAACAAAGAGGCAGGTTGTGTTTCGATCACATGAAGCCGAAAGAGGAAAGGCGGGCACTCTCACTTTTCCCTGTCTGTCTATTAGTCTCTGTTAGCAAAATATCTCATCAACCAGTGGATGGGTTTTGATGAAACGCTCAGAAATAAATCACTGAATTAAATCTCCATCTGATGAACATTTGGAGTCAACTCAATTCAACACGTTTCAACAAAATATCAAACTAATTAATTTCTGATTAATTTGTTTCAGTTGGTTTACTCGTGATGTGGCTTTGAGATAATTTAATGTGATTAATTTATTATCTATATATTACATAATATATTATAATTCTATGAACTACGGGTGTTTTCAGCACTTCTTCTGGCTTTTTTTTAAGGTCTTTCTTTTGAAGAATGTTTTTTGTTATTTTATTAGGCCTCTTAAATCTACAAATAGCAAATAAATTTATCATTTAAAGTGAAAACCTGTGATGCGTGCACACAGACAACTCAAGTTAGATTTGTGGGAACTTTGTTACTCGCAGCCATTTAGAAATAATTTGATTACAGTTTGTTGTTTGTCCTCCATTGTGATGCATTTACATGCCATAGTAAAGAAATAAAAACAATGTTTAACATTTTATTTTAGCCATAAGATGAGACCCTCAGACAGGAATGAGCTTGTGTAAAACCAGTCACAACCGTTTCTATACCAGTTAATTGGTCCCTGAGAGCTGCAACACGCCCCAGTCCTCACCGCGAAGGCTCCAAGCACCCAGTCCCTGGGCAGACCCCTGGCAACCTGGAACCTGTCGTTGACGTAGGCGTTGAAGTTCTCCATGGACCACACTGTGTCCTCCTTCAGCTGGCTGTAGAGAGGGTTCTTCTTCTGGAGGTACTGGAGGGGGACAGTAGGGGGAGCAGAGACACATGAGAGACACAGAAAGACAGCACTGTCCCTGATGCTCAAATCCTTTTTTAATTTTATGAAAGTGAGGCTGAGAGCATTCGTTTGTTATTTCAGCTGTTTTGAGTAACTCTGTTTTTGAAGGTTAAAAGTTGATCTTGAATTTTTAATAAAATGGAGATATTCCTTGAATGAGCATCTTTGCTATAAAACCAAATTAATTTTATTGTCCAAATAAACATTCATCTGTAATTTACAGCAACAATATTCACATAATAAAGATTATTACATGATTTGTCATGAACAGTGACAGAGGTCAGTAACGTCGGTTAATTTGTGCATTTTTACCCAATAAAATCCTGCAGCAGTGGCCAGTTTTCAGGTTTTAAACAAAATAATAAAACCTGCTCCCTGTTTTTTCTCAGTTCATCATTCGATTTTAAGAAATATTTGAGTAAATTTTTTATTTTTTTTTAAAAGCTAAAACTAGAGAAACACATTTTCTGTGTGTAATGATTCGTCTGTAATGTCCTGGAAATTAAGCTGTTGAAGCTAAAAAGGGGAACACTAAACGTTTTTTGTTAAAAAGAGCAAAACTTCAGCTAAAAGCTAAAAAAAAAAAATGGAGGACTAGTTAAAACTAAATCTATCTGAAGAGTAAAAAGCAGCAAAAGCTAAAAGTTTCAAAATGCTATAGCTAAATGTAGCAAACGCACGGATAAAGTCAAGTTAGAAAAGGATCACTAAAAACTTAAAGTAGATTAAAAGTTTTATTATTTTGATAGTTTTAGTTTTGAGCTAGCATTCTGCGGCTTTTTATTTTTTTATTTTTATTTTTTTTAGTCAGGCCTTTGATACCTTTAGCTAGAATTTTGAGATGTTTAGCTTTAATTAGGCTGTTTGATACTATTAGATTTTAGTTAGCATTTTGCTGCTCTTAAATTTTAGCTTGCCTTTTGCTACCATTACCTGGCCTTTTGCTACTTTTTGCATTTAGTTAGCCAATTGCCGCTTTTTTCTATTAGCTACTTTTTGCTACCTTTGCTTCTAGCAAGCCTTTAGCTAAATTTAGCTTTTACCTTACCTGCATCTGCATCTTACCTGCATCGTACTGCATCTAGCTAGCCTTTTCTATCTTTTAGCTTTTACCAAATATTTGTTACATTTAGTTTGTAGCTAGCTTTTGGCTGAGTTTAGGTTTTAGCCAAATTTTTGTTACATGAGCAGAATAGTAGCTTAAAGCTAAAAGTAGCATAAAAAGACAGAAGTTGAGCAGTTATGCTGAGGCCGATTTTTTAAATAATTATATTTTTAAATAATTTTAAAAAGAGGCTTTCAGTGAATTTGTGGAGTTAAATATTATGAAAGGTATTAAAAAACAACTAAAAGTCATAGCAGCTAATGTCTATTCTCTTTAAACGGTGATTAAAATGCTGCTAAATCTGATAAGTTAGTGTTTGTGTTTACCTGGTTGGTGAGGTGAGTGGAGAGGTTTTTGGACTTTGGATCATAAATATTACAGGAGAGTCGCACGTATCCGTGACGAAAGAAAACCATGTAAGGCGCCGTGCAGGCGATGAGCAGGTAAGAGCGCACGTCGAACTTCCTGCTGTCAATGAGCAGTGGATTCTGGATGTAACTGTGAGGAAAATATTTGAACATGCTAAAAAAAGGAACAAGAATATTTTGTGTTTTCTGTGGAAATGCAACGCAAACATTGAGAACCGAATGAAAGCTGAAAACCGTTAACGAAGCAAAACTGAATGTTAAAAAGATCAGAATGAACATTAACAATAAAACAAAAGCTAAAATGAGCAAAAACTAAATCAAACAAAAATTACTGATAACTATAACCAGCAGAAAAGTGGCTAAAAAAGGAAAAACTGAAGATAGAAGGCAAAAATACCAAAAACAGTAGTTAAAAGCTAAACATTGCTAAAAGGTAAAAATTATCAAGTTGGATGAAGATCTAAGATTTTAGGATCTGGAGAGATCTCAAAGCATTTCTATGTGGAAAAAGTAAATTTAATTTAAAAGGTTTAAAAAAAAAAAAACAAGGTTGTGGCTGTTTATGAAATAGCTGAACGTTTGCTGAAGTAGCTGAAAAATGTTTGTAAAAACCTAAAACAGGAAACAGTTTGAATGCTGACCCAGCATTCACACATCTACTGAGTCTTTTCTAAGAGGACTATTTGTTTATTTTCTAACATTTACAATAATGTAAATTAATTCACTCTTAATTAATGCATAATAAACAATTATTAATGATTTATAAAGTATTTAGGAATTAATAGCGTAACTATAAATTATTTATTAGCCATCTATAAGTGGAGTCTTATTGTAAAGTGGTACCCAAATATATATATTATTCTATTTCTTTAGTTGCATTTGTGCTCATTTAAAACATGCATAAAAAAAAACGGTAAGTAAACTGAACCCACTGCTGAGCGATGTACGGCTGGTTGTGGAGGTGACATGCGCCCTTGTGGTCCTCCATGTGCTTCAGCTTCAGCCTGAAGGCCTCCACGTCCTCGGGGCTCTCCAGAAGGAGGATCCCTTTTCCTTGGTTCTGACCCGTGGGCTTACAGATCCACATGCGACTCTCGCTCTCACCTGGAAACAATACCAAAAGGTCGTTTGTGTTTCTTAAGGCCAGCTGGCTATAAATCAAAAAAAGCTAGTCATTTCTACATCCGGTGACTATTTTCTCCTAGTAGCTGATGAGATATTTTGCTAACAGACACTGAAACATGTTATTGTCTGCCTTTGTGTTTTGGCGACAGGTGATAAAATAAATCAGATTTTAGAATGCTTCTTACATTTGGGTGATTTGGGGAGTTTATACTTTTGTTCAGCTACTTGAGTGAATCTGCATTGATTTCATACATTTAATAATGTGATTAATCTACTTGAACTCTATTTATCTCCCAATGCAAAGAGATCGTATCATGTGATCATGATTTTTCCTTTTCTTTTGTCGCCTGCATGAGTTCGTCCACCACCCAGAGATCTGAACGGGCCACGTTTACTTAACGATAACGGTGTTTGTCGAACCCGTACGCTCATCACGACGTGTCGACAAAAACCATCCACTACAGATTTCACTGCTCACTTATCACTTCACGTCACCTTTTGTAAAGTTATTCTTTAAAGTTTGAAAATGACTCCGTTTCATTCGTTCGGCGCTGCTTCTCCTTGTTGCTCCTTGTTTGCGTCTCAGGCCTGCCCTCTGCTGACCTGTCTCCATGGCAACAGCATGCTTCCCCTGTGATTTTATCAGAGCCTTATGGGAGGTGAATATTTTCCAACGTTCTCAACCTCTTCATCAAACACTCACCAAGGCAACCCAACGCCATCGAGTACAAACTTCTTTTCAAAGCTGGATTCACGACGGGTTTGATTAATCGTTTTAACAGAACCCACACGGTGGAACGTACGATAAATCCAGTTGGACCGGTGCTGTGTCTCCTCTGCGTTAAAGTACCTGTGTGTGACCGGCAGGATGTGTTTGGCCGTTTACCCTCCTGCTGCGTGAAAAGGGCAAAGAAGGTATTCCTCTCTTGCCTCGTGTCCATTCGGAAGGTCGTCGGAATAAAGTCCTTAATTTTCAGCCTCCTGCGGAGCACAGTTTACAAAGAAAATATTTAAAAATCTTCGATTTCCTTGAGTATCTTATAATAAACTTGGACTAAGATCACAAAAGTGTTGCCAAAAGGGTCTTGTGTAAATAACATGGGTGATGTTTTCACCTCCGTGAGTGTGTTTGTTTATCAAATTATCTCTTGAACCAGCGAACATCATTGAATAAAACTCAAAGTAATCATTTGATATAGCTACAACTGATTAACGTTTGAAGTCAACCTGATTCAAGATGGCCGCCGCAGCCAAGTGACCTTAAGAAACATAAAAATGGCGATAACCCTTCTAGTTTTGCAGCTGTCGAGCTAAAGTTAGGTGTGGTAGTAATTCAGAGTCATTCCAAACGCATAATATGAGGAAGACACATTGCGTTACATCTTTGCTAAAAACGTTGGCATTATCTGTGTCTGTTAGTAAAATATTTCATAAACCACAGGATGGAACTGAAAGAAACTTGCAGACAGTAATCACTTGATGTACGTTTACAAATTATCAACTTTTGAAGTCAACCTGATTCAAGATGTCCATCAAAACTACTCCACATTAATAATAATAATAATAATAATGTCATCACAATGTCAGCACTGTATGTTTCCATACAATGGCGAAATTAGTCTCTGCATTTAACCCATCCACCACCAGGTGGTGCAGTGGGCAGCTATTGAAAGCGCCCGGGGGACATTTTGGGGATTAGACGTGCTGCCCAGAGACGCCACGTGATGTGCAGTGACTGGGGATCGAACCTGGGACTCTCGGGTCCCAAGCCGGCTGCCCTGCCTCTACACCATCTTAACAAACGCAAGCTTTAAATTAATCAGAATTAGAGATACTCAGCTAAAGTTTGAAGCGGTATAGTAGCCGTAAGTCATTTTAAACATTTAGGCCCGTGTTAAGATCTCACTCAATTTATTACCGGGTTGCTCAAAACAAATATAACTCGGTCATTTCTCAGATCGAAACTCTGGCATGAAAAGCTGCACGTTTTTTATTTTATTTACATTTGAACATCTTTGGAGATGTGGTTTCAATAAAGTTATGAATCTGCTTGTTTTTATTGTGAATTGACAGTGGTGCTAATTACCGTATTTTTCGCCATATAAGTCGCACCTTTTTGCATAAATTTGCAAGTCCTACAACTTAGACACCAAAGCAACTAATACACGTTTATTTCCTCATATTTATAATCCAATTTTTGTCTGAGATCTGATGATTTCATTCATTCTGACATGGAAAATATTGAAAACTGCCATTTTCAGCTGCTAGAGGGCATTCAAGTCATATGGCAAGCCAAGTGTCTCATTAATAGATAAAAGTGGCTATTAATGAGAGACTTGGCTTGCCATACTAAGACACCTTCCTTCGTCTGGTTCCAGAACTCCTGAAACAAACGTCGCTGTCCAGGCCAAATGCAGCTGATTTGACCATTAAAGTGCATTTATTAAGGAAAAGTTAACCTGAGACACACCTTTGCTATAATTCTGAGCAAACAAACAATTGTTTTTAAGTGTTAATCTTGTTAAATTCTTCTCAAAGTCCTCCCGTGCATGCTCCCGTGGCTGCCATTTGGCAGTCAATTGATTTTTGGCACACCACCGGCCCACGTTTCCGGGTGGTCAGCGGTGACGTATAATAGATGAGACTTACACGGCGAAGCGGCTTATTTATGTTTATTTCCAAAGTATTAGACATATTTGAACTGATGTGACTTGTATGGCGGAAAGTACGGTACATAACTTTAAACGTTGACAATTTTACATGTACAAATACACACTATTGCACAAAGTTTTGTATTCAGCGTTGACACAAGGACATTATTTATATATTTATCTAACGCCAAGACATTTTCTGAATTAAAAAAAAAACGATTAAGGTTATCTGATTTTTCACACTAAAATGCATATGAGCTATAAGATTTTTCTTCAGCAGATTAATAATACTGTATTTATTAAACATTTTATGCAATAATATTTTTAAAATCTGGTTGTAAAACTCTTTATTTCCAATCTAAACGTTTGGTAGTTCATGCTGATTTGACGCCGTTAAACCTTAGTGGTACCAGACGGGTGCGGTTTGCAGAATTTCTAGCACAGCAGCAAACATCTGTAATATATTTAAATAATTTAAACAACTCTAAAGAACAAATACATTTCAGAACAGGCAGAAACGGAAGCGTCTGAGTGCAGCCCACCTGAATCTTTGACTGTGTCGGACCGTGCCGCTCATGCGCTCGTACGCCCGCAGGCTGCAGAGGAGGCCGATCTTCGTGGTGAGCACGTCGTTGTTGGGAATCTGGTACAATAACTGCTGGCCTGGAAATAAAAGACACATTTTAAGTTTGTGCTCAGTAAACGCAGATTTAGCAAATAATAAAATGTAAAATAAACACATTTTGACAGATGTGTCTTTCATTTTTGGTAGGTTTTTAATTAAAGGAGGTTGTATAACTTGTTCAAGTACAGATTTGGTGTAACAGAGTATTGTGTTTTTTGTGGGGTACCTTCTCTGAAGTGTCTATAGATGGCTGGTGATTTGATCTCGCACCACTTGAGTCTGAAGTCCTCCCTGTGTTTGTCGTGAATTCTTTTCCATCCTCTGCTCTCACAGTAGCTGCTCACTCTGAGGTAAACCAACCACACCTGATGTTCATTTATTCCGCACGCCAGAGGTCAACGGTGTCATGTAAAGTTAGCTTTATTTAAAGTGGCAACATCGCCCTAAATAAAATATGTTGCATGAGAAATACAGAGGATCTTCATCACTCAAAAGCAGGGGTGATAATGTTGTCTGTGTGTTCATTTATTTGAGCAAATTTATTTATTAACCTTAATTTAACCAGGCAAATCCCACTGAGATCACAGATCTCTTTTGCCAGGGAGGCCTGGGCCTGAAGGCAGCCTAACATGCAGGTTTTTGGTGTGTGGGAGGAAACCGGAGTACCCGGAGAAAACCTATGCAAGCACGAGAAGAACATGCAAACGCCACACAGAAAGACCCCACGTTTAACCGGGGATTGAACCCAGGACCTTTTTACTGTGAGACAACAGTGCTAACCACTGAGCCATCGTGCAAAACATCTCATGAACCATTAGACGAATTTTAATTAAACTCTCAACTGATTAACCTTTGGAGTCAACCCAATCCAAGATGGCCACCGCAGCCAACAGACGGGCATGGTGGTTAGGATGTGCAGCAAAACTGCTGGCGTAGCTCTATAGAACCTCACTCACCTACACAAGGTGAGGTCAGTGAACAAGGCCAGACTGATTCTGGCAGATCCTGATCATCCACTCCATGGTGAGTTCAGGTTGCTTCCATCTGGACGCAGTTGTAGAACGAACAGACTGAAAAACTCATTCATCCCTGTAGAGATCAGGCTTCTCAACAAACACCGATGATTTCTGTTATTTTAAGGTTTTGTCTTGTCTGGATGTGTTGTGTGTGTCTGCAGACTGTGAAACAAATTGCCCCTCGAGGATAATAAAGACTCTTGAGCTTGAACTTATGTGGTAGTGGCTGAGTGTTATCACCACCAAATACTTCACGCATCACACATTGATCAATTTTTTTTTTTGCTTAACTGTTGGAATCAACCCTGTCTGTTAGCAAAATACCTTATAAAGCACGAAATGGATTTTAATGAAAACCTGAAGAAGTAATCTTTAAATGTTTTACCTAGAAATAGTTAACTTTTGTTGACCCAACTCTAAATGGCCACCACAGCAAATCAACACAAAATAGCTCTAGCTCAGTCAGTTTTACAGATATTGGGCTAAAATCAGACGTGGTGGTGGCTGAGAGTCATTCAAAATGCATTGTCCGATCGCTAATGCAGCTCATGAATAACATGCACGAGGTTCGACTAAAACCAACCCTTCTCGGTGTTGCATGATCTTAGATTAAAACTGGCATTAAAGGCAGCGGGTGATAAGTTGTCCTTCAAGAAAATTCAAACGAATCAGAAATGGGCTTCCTCTACTGTGACCTTTTTTTTTTATTCACATCGTTGAACTTACATCTCAACGCCGTTGGCTCCTCCAAAAAAGAAGACAGGAGGCTCCTTCAGCTGCCGGCCTCCATCTCTGTCCAGGTGAGCGAACGCCAGTGACGCCCTTGGTTTGGATTTGTGGAGGCGACACTTGAGGATGCGCAGACCTGACTCTTTGAAATATGCAAAAAGAAAGGAACCAAACATGCAGTTGATAAAAATACATGCTGCACGTCCACATTGTTTTGATGCAGTTTACAATACATTTTCATTTTAAAGCAATACAATGCAGTGGATTTTATTGTAGTTTATATTAATGATGGCTCTATGGTTAAACTGAATCTCAAACAAGTTTAACACACACACACATGCTTTGTCTTTTATGCTTGACAGTCAAATGGGAAAACCCCATCCTCCAGTGGAGAGTCATGCCTCCTCCCTCTGACTCTGATCTACCTTCTGATGTCATTTCCTGTATGTCATCACGGTCAGGTGATGAAGGCTGTGCTGCTCCCGGCTCCTCCTGCCTCAGGCTTCCTGCTGGTCTGTCATTTGTGCAGGGAACCACCGCTTCCTCCTTTTTCTTTTCTCGCTGCCTCCTCTGTCCGATTTCTCGTGCCTGTGAGTCGCTGCTGATCTCAGCCCAGAAGTGAGACGACAAGTCCTCTATCTGCTGCAGATCACAGCTGTCCAACATCTGTTTGACTTGCAGTGCCTAATAATGTAAAGAGAGGGCAGAGTTTACAGTCTTAAACCCTGTTCAGCTGTTCAAATATATCAAATTAATAGATCGTATTAAGGTCTTCAGACAACGTCTGGAACTTCACAAAGACGTTAACTTTTATGTCAACCTGAATTTAATGACATGATAATTTTATTTAGATTTTTATGTCACAAATTAAGCTGTACAGATTGCTAAAACCTAACAGCAGTTAAACTCTTAGCCTGTCTGTTGACAGACTTTGAATATAAGGTCATCTTATTACAGAAGGATGAGCATACAAAACTTATTTATTATTTTTTGTAGATTTTATTAAACCTTTATTTAATCAAATGAATCCCACTGAGATCACTTTTTTTTTTCCAAGGGAGCCTTGAGCAGTTCCAGGTCAAACACAGAAGGTAAGAATGATACAGTAGAACATGTATCGTAAAAGGACTCCATCACTGAAATAAAATTCAAACTGTAAGAAGCCAGTTTGGTTAAAACAGGAAACAGGTGCATGCTCCATCCTCCCAACCTTTCATCGTTGTTTTAAGGCCCAACTAAGATCAGATGTTGAAAATGCAGCAGGTGGTTCCAGGGTGCACGGGCAGAGGCAACAGCAGTGGTGATTTTAGCCTCTTTTTGGGGGTGCTCAAGCACCTCTAAATTTTAACTCAGCACCCCTGAAAAATAAAGTAAATTTAAAAAAAAATAGGTTTGGGTTTGGGGTTTTGTTTATAGCATTTATGATTCAATGCAACAAAGTAAACAAATTTAAAAGTAACAGATGATTAATACTTGGTTTATTTACATAATAACTTTATTCGCTGGATGTCCGGCCCCTGAGCTGCTGGCTCTCAGTAACTGTGGCCCCTGAGCAGTTTAGCTGAACAGTCCTGCTTTAGAGGGTGAATACAGTTTATTCCATTTCCAAAACCTAAACTGAATCTGGAAAAATGTAAAAGATGATAAAACCCTGCAGTCGATCTCATGAGCAGCTGAATACAACAGTGATAAACAGGAAGTACCACATGTTCAGCTGTACGAAGGCAACTGCAGGTAAATCCTCCATTTTTGTCATAATCTACATTTTACATTATGATTAATGGTTACATTAAAGGTTAATGCTTAAAGCTAGTTGTGCGTTGTTTTGTGTGTTTTAATTGTAGATATATGTTGCAAATTCTGGTTGCACAAGTTTAGTCTTTGTTATGATCAGTTAACACTAAACTGATTAAAGCGTTTATTAGGTTGTGTAATGTAAAGTGGAGCGCTACATCTGTAGCATCGTAGCTAGCGCGTCTGTATTGCACGCCGCTAGTTTAGCGCTACTTCTTGTTGTGCCGAGCTCTAAAATAGTGATTGAATCAAGTGTTTACATACGTAGGTAAATGTAGATGTTTAAAAACATGTTAAAAAACAGAATGTAGGAAATGGCATCTACTTTATTCAAAATTTTCTGGGGGAGGACCCCCAGACCACGCCCCAAGTGACACCAATGGCCACCACGTTGTTCAAGCCAAGAGCTGAGCACCCCTAAAGGTCAGATTCTAAAATAGCCCCTGGGTGACAGTTTTTTTTTTTCTAAAATAATAAGTAGTTCATATTACCCATGCCTTTCATGTTGGGGCTTTATAAAGCTCATTTGGCTGTGGCAGCCATCTTGAATTGGGTTGATTTCAAAAGTTAATCAGTTAAGACAACCCTCCGGGGGTTACTTTCTGAACGTTTCATTAAAGTTTGCTCTGAAGTTCATGAGAGATAAGCACACAGACAGAAACGATATCACCCCCAGCTTTGTTGTTCAGCTGTGGGCAAAAAGAAGTTGCGTTATTTCAAAATAAATGTATTTTTCAAACTCCTAAAAACACTTAAGCCTAATATTCCACCACTCTTGTCAAACTACAAGATTAAAACAAAAAAAAACTTACAGCTTTTACATGGAAGAAATCAGATTTTTTCTGTGTGAAGTTTTGCCGTCTAAAGCCAGTCATTGTCACTGCTGCCACAGTTAAAGTAAGAAAGCTCACAATGTTAATAATCTGCAGTTACTCGGTCGTGGGACCCCTGGCAACGGTTGCCATTTGCAGATAGAATTTAACGACAACAGCAACAGAACACAAACCACCAACTCAAGGTTATGGATCTTCCTCACTACTAAGTTTAGCTTCATTCAATATTTACCGCCTGTAAGCCTTTTGTTGTGTGGACGATGGTAATATGAGAGGAGGGTGTCAAATAAAATGGATTTACCAGTTTCTCATGGTATTATATGCTAATCCTGACAGTACAATGTGACTGTAATGGCAGATTTTTAAGATATCCTCATGAAAAACAATAAATATGCTTAAATTTAGCCATTTTTAAATTAACAAAAGAAGAGAACAAGTAGATAAGTGTGCAAAGAATCAAAATAAATGTTGTTTTATAAAGGCGGATCATGCTTAACTTATATAGACATTATCATTAATCTCCTTCTTGTGCCAAATCCTGGTATGCAGTTGAGCAACATAGCATTTGTGTGCTCGCAAGGCAAATCCATTAATTACCTTCTGTCTCAGTGATTTGACTCAGGAGGAAACACCCAGGCCCAGCTACGGTTGAAAATGATGCATAATCTCCTCTCTTCCTCCGAACAGCATGATAATTGAAAGGAGTGGTCGCCTTTTAGGCCCAGAACCACATAATTATACGTCCAATACGAGTGACGCAGACACCCAGCCGGTTTGAATCCACGTTGACACAAACGTATCTTGAACATATTTAGAGTGAATAAGAATGGAGCTGTCCTGGATGTCACTGTGAGAATTTATTAATGCTTTTATATGTTTAAATAGGCCTATAATGAAAACATTTAGGGTGCAACAGAAAAGGTTGACAAGTTTGCAAACTGTGAGGGCAAAATCACAAATTGTGCCTTTAAAAAAAAAAAAAAAAAAAAGCGCAACTAAAACAAAAACCACTGGAAAAAAACAACAACTCCACAAAGCAAAGGTCGAGATTAGTTCACGTTCTGTCATAACTATATTTAACTTAACAAGTTGACCTTATTTTTCCAGTAACTTAACGGCTTTTAAACCTGTTTGGTGTTGAAATAACTGTTTCAACATGCATGAACCATAAAGACAAGGCGTCCCCAAATGTGGGACTAAAGTCCTGATCCGAGCGAGCCCAGATGAAGTCCCAGGTGGACCCAGTATGGTTTAATGAAACCATTATACTATTTTTCGTCTTTACCTGCACACATTTTCCCACATTAACCGTAATATCTTTCAGGCAGCACAGCTTTCCTACAATTTACAGTCATTTATTTTAGAGGGGGGAGTGAAAGCACAGAGGTTAGAGAAGGAAAGCTGGTGATCGGGAGGTTGCAGGTTTGAATCCCTGGACTGTTATAACAAATTTTAGGTGGGAAAGGTTAAGGAACCAACACCTGATTCCACCTTTCTTTGCCTCACTGTGGACTCTTGAGCCAGGCCATCCCTCTAGCTGCTCCTCCAGCGCCTTAGATTGCAGCCCTCTGCTGCACACATGTGGGCTGTGGTAGCTCGGTGGTTACTTCTGGAAGGGCGTCAAGCATAAAAACAATTGTAAGATCACTTGCTGCAGAGACCCTTGAAAAAGGGAGCAGTCGAAAAATAAAAAAATAAACTATTGCATTGTAGGCTGCACAGCTTTTCATCTTAAGTGGAACTGATTATCTAGAATTTACGCTGCTACTTCACGTTTTGCGAAGCAAAGTCAGAAGTGATCTATCATTTAAGCTCACAGAACTGGCAGGAAAGTCGCAAATAATCCTGAAGCTCTATGATCCACGTGCACATCAACCTGGACGGGGCGGTGGGCTTCGTCGCTGCAGGGTCTGCAAAACTGGAACTGAGCTGCTGTTCTGCAGAGCTGGTAAGTAAAATGTTGCAGTACTGTACAGTACATATATGTATGTTGTTAAAATTATGTAGGTTTAAGAGTTTAGAACATTGCAAGAGTGTGGGAAGGGTTTATAAAGCCTTAATATCTATATATATATATAAATACTATAATAAATATAGCGTTCCTACGTTGCGGTTTTTCACCTATCACGGTGGTGTCTGGAACGTAACCCCCGCGATGATAATCGAGGGACTACTGTACAGTATTTTTGGAGACGCAGCTTCTTTATCATTCTGGAGATTTCCCACGTTTCTGCCAGCTCATGGAGAGGGACCAGCCTGGAAAGACAGTGACATAAATAATGAACACTAACACGCTGAATATCAATCTATTCTGGGCTTTTATTAGAGAAAAGGCCTCTAACTGGACATCAAAACCATTGTTAACGTCAAACTCAACATGTTTTTCAACCAAAATTCAGCAAGCAATCACCTCCCAGTTTGACCAGTTCAGTGTTTTGTACACACTGCAATACGGCGATACTGAGAGCTGTTGGGTAATAATGTGAGTCCAGCTCCAACGTCCTGGTTATTAGAAGCAGACTTCCCATATTCCTGTTGAACAGAGCTTTGTGTGGACCCTGTGTCAGCCACACCTTGATAAAGAGCCGCCATCTGATAGACTCTCTGTGCAAAGTGCTGCGTAGGAGGACAAAGAAAACAGGCTTGTTTTACAGCCCCGTCCACCTCCTGGTTCACCATATGCCGACAGCTTGTGTGCGTTTGTCTCGTTTTATCAGAACATACGAGAACACTGGTTTTATTTCTGTATTACACATGTCTAGTAAAGAAAAAGTCTGGAACTCCTTTTGTTTTGTTTTTTTACTTTTTGCAGGGCCAACTTCCTGAAAGAAAAATAAAACACACCCAGTGATTTTTTGGGGGGAAAAAAAAAGGCGGTCGATGAAAACAGGCGAAAACAGAATTTCACATGGAGTTGATACGCTCCATCACAAAAACAAGACATGCTAACTTGCTGATACATCATTATAAGAAAAGTAGGTGTGTGTGTGTGTGTGTGTGTGTGTTTGAGCCTGCGTTGTCTGTCTGTCTCGGGGCGGTCACGCCATGAGTTTGTGTGTCTTTGGAGCCTCTCCCATTCCCATGTCATCTCAACTGCCTGTAACTAGGAAGTGTTTGGCAATTGCAGGGATGCAGCCTGCAGCAATGGTGTCCCTGCACAACCCATTATTTGAAGGGATTCTACTTGTCAAGGTGTTAGACTGAAAGAAATGGATTTAAATTACATTGTAAAGGAAAACCTGTCTCTGTAGGGCCTCTCGTTCTTCTTCTATTCATGATTTCCTGACAGAATTACACAGGCGAAAACACAGGGGGGGCTGCTTTAGCAGGGGGCTACTGTGTTCCCAGGGTCTGTTTCCACTGGTTTTAGCTGGTGGTTTTAAATGTATTTAATAGCTTTGACTGAACAACTGATAGACACGAAAACATAAAATGTGTGTCCCAATTTTGCGCTTAGATGCTTTTAAAGTGAGACTTTGTGTCAATGTTTATTTTTGTGAGTCAGATCGTGCTTATAACGAAGGTCTCATCCAGCTGTGACCTCTTGGAGTGTTAGCTTCACCCTCTTTAGAGCTATGAAAAGACTAACAGGAAATACAGTTTGATTAAGAAATAGAAAATGACTCACAAATTACAGCAAAAGAATGAAGTAAGAGATAGATTAAACAGGCCGAGAGAAAAAAAAAATCACAAAAAGAAAGCGGGTGCTTCAGTTTTAGCAAAGCCTTAAATTTCACCAGATTCAACTGGAACACACACACACGCTCAATCGCTCAGTTTTATAGCAAAGGATTGTATATAAAGTATATAAAATGTGTTGACACCGACATAAGTTTACTTTCCTCTTTTATTAAATGCAGCTTCTTCTCAGATGACAAGAAAATTACACAATGGCCTGTTTCTGACATTTAATTTCACATTATCATAAAACCGGGATGATGACCAAAAAATTGGCATGAGAATCAGAACCTCTATATCTGAGGTTATGGTCCTCAGTTGGAAAAGGATTGCTCTCTTCAGGTCAAGGTTGAGGTTCTGCCTCAAGTGAAGGAGTTAAGTATCTCAGAGTTTTGTTCATGAGTGAGGGAAGAATGGAGCGTGAGATTGACAGACGGACTGGTGCAGCATCTGCAGTATTGCGGACTCTGTGCCGGTCCGTTGTGGTGAAGAGGGAGCTGAGCTGTAAGGCAAAACTCTCTATTTACTGGTCGGTCGATGTTCTTACCCTCACCTATGGTCATGAACTCTGGGTAGTGACTGAAAGAATGAGCTCATGGATACAGGAAGTTGAAATGAGTTTCCTCTGCAGGGTAGCTGGACTCTCCCTTAGAGATAGGGTGAGAAGTTCAGTCATCCAGGAGAGACTCAGTAAAACTGCTGCTCCTCCACATCGAGAGGAGCCAACTGAGGTGGTTTGGGCATCTCTGAGTGCCTTACTAGGGAGGTGCTTCGGGCATGTCTGACTGGGAGGAAACCCCAGGGAAGACCCAGGACACGCCGGAGAGACTCTGCCTGGGAACTCCTTGGAGTCCTCCCAGAAGAGCTGGAAGAGGTGGCTGTGGAAAGAGATGTCTGGGCCTCCCTACTCAAGCTGCTGTCCCTGTGACCCGACTTTGGAACAAGTAGAAGATAATGGATTATCATAAAACCTTTCTTCTTAACCCAACAACGAGTTAAAATGATGTCTTTGAACCACTGCTGAATGTGTGATACGCTGCTCATTAGACCCGTGTGGTGTCTTCTGATCAGTGTCTGTCTTCAAAACTTGAACATCCAAACAGCAGTAGCTACATTTTTTAGATGCAGTCTAGTTGTCTGGTTTCAACAATAAGCATTTTCTTTTCATTTACTTTTACACATAATTGAACACTCGTTTTCTCTTCCTGCTCAATTATGACGTGCTGTGTCCTCCGCAGTCAGAGGGAAGGAGGCGGGAAACATCGTGGGCGGGTCACCAGTCAATCACAGAGGCACACGTCAAGTTTCAAACCAAAGACATTCAGCTGTGAGTGTGAACTGTTGCATCATCCTGGTGCCCACAATAAACACAATTTTAATAATTCAAGCTGCTTAAGCTGACTGGTGTCTGGGCAGCCAGCTGGTCCCTGCGTTAGTAAAATAATAAAATATACCCATTTCTATTAGCTCATCTGTTACCAGTCTGTCAGCTCCAAACAAATACGTCTTTGAGGTGTTGGTCACATTTTCTTTTGCACTGAAATTTGTTCAGGTACATTCCCTTCTTCAAGTACTGGCCTAAGATTACTAAACGTGGTGCAACCAAATTATGACTAAATGACTGTAGCAGTTAGAGCCAACCACATACGCTCACTGTGCTGCTGTTCAGATTAAAGTTTCAGTGTTCAGATTAAAGTTTCAGGAGTGAGTTGTGACAAAAAGGGTGTCAGCAAAGGTCAAAGGAAAAGTTTACAAGACAGTGGTGAGACCAGCTATGTTGTATAGTCTGGAGACAGAGACATGGACAAAAAGACAGGAGACATAACTGGAAGTGGCAGAAATGAAGATGTTGAGGTTCTCCTTAGGAGTGACAAGGATGGATAAGATTAGGAATGAGATCATCAGAGGTACAGCACAGGTGGAACAACTGGGAGATAAAGTTAGAGAGACCAGACTGAGATGGTGTGGACATGTTCAGAGGAGGGACAGTGGGTATACTGGTAGAAGGATGTTAGAAATGCAGCTGCCAGGAAAAAGACAAAGAGGAGATGTATGGATGCAGTTAGAGAGGACATGGAGGTAGTTGGAGTGAGGACAGAGGATGCAGAGGACAGAGATGGAGGAGGATGACTCGCTGTGGAGACCCCTGAAGAGGGAAAAGCTGAAAGAAGAAGAAGATGATGAAGAAGAAGATGCTGCTGTTCAGATGTGTTCACAGCCTCATGATGAGGTGCAATATTTTCTTGCCAAGTCCATCGTCATTAAAAAAGGGAATTAAATGTTTAGTTTCACGTCTGTCTGTTCGTTGGACAGTCTGTGCTTTGCTTGCTTATCACAGTTTTCTGGAGTCATACTCTGTTAGAACTGAAAGCAAAAGACCATTTTTCTTAGATTTGGTAAACAGCAACAGAAAACAACGCATGTGAACTGAGAGAGGATAGCGTTTGTGACTGTGCACAAGCTCACGTGCAAAATGAAACCTGTGCTTTCCAGCAGTACGCTCTGTTAGGATCTGTCCTAACAGGAAGGGAGTGACAGCGCATCAAAATGAATTGTTTATAGAGTTATTAAGTTATCAAAACTGATTCTAAAAAGCTCTTTAACCGAGCTGACAATCTGTTATAAATGTTATAAATTTAATTCAGTTTCCATCCTTTTTTATTTCTTCATTTACATTTTCTGTCAAAGAACCCACATAATATAGCTGATGACAACTCAGCCCAGGGGTTTGCAACGTTTGCAATATAATTAGCCATTATTTCCACTTTGCTTATTAATTATGATGTCCAGAGCCACAAAACCTGTTACAACTGTGAACTGTGAACTGGTGGCCAGTGGACCACTGCAAGTTTGTTGGAAATGGCTTTTACAGCCAGTGGGTGAGATATTATAATATGAAAAATGTCTAACTATTATATCTTTTTTCCTTCTTTTTAGTAATGGTTTTATGTATTTTAATCTTGTTTTGAATGTACATTTTTACCCTGTTTTTATTAATTTTGTCATGTTTAAACTGTGTCGGACTGTGCTGGCTGCCATCACCACTTACTGTAAATGAATTGCCCTTCAGGGACATAATAAAGTGAAGTATTATTAACATTTATTCACACTTTTACATTTTAATACGAAAGATGAGACCCAATTCATGTAAAGAAAGAAAAAAATGTTTGATTTTTAACAATTTTATAAAAATTAAAACACTGCAGGTGTGTGTGAGTTATTTTAATTGTTGAAGATTTAAGTTTCCTACTTAAAGCATAAAGTTAAAGACAGGATCAAATTAGGTCAGTTTGTTGGATATCCAAGTACACTTTCAAGAAAAATTAATAATTGTGTTTAATTTGAGTTTGTTTTTATTTTTTATTCTTAGTGTTATCAAAGTTACACACCATATTCCTTCTCATCAGCTTGTCTTAAAGATATTCCAAAACATTCTGCTGGTTTTGAGAGAAACATCATGCGGAGAGACTGGAAGTCGACTTAAAGAGGCTAACAAACTACTAGCATGATGTAGTCCAGATGTTTTACGCCTTGTACTATCCTTCACATATTTGATGACAGGAAATCTGCTAAAACTAGCAGTTTTCATTGTTGGTAATAATTTAAATAAATCTTTTATTTTAGTTTGGTCGAAGCCTGAAAGAGCCGCAGCAGAGGGACCAAACATGTGGCCCCAGAGCCGCAGGTTGCAGACCCCTGCCTTAGCCTATTGTTGCACTGTGATGATCAGATTTATTTAAAAAGGCTCAGGAGTGTTGCAACAGGACACTTTAAACATTTTTTTTTATACATGTAATGAAATCCAGCAGACACAGAAGGGTTTCCACGTCTTTCTGTGAATGTCACCAGACCTGGAGGCATGTCCCGGCCAACCGTTCTACTCCAGCGGCAGCTCCAGTGGATCTGGCCTCCTTATCCACAACCGGCAGCAGCTCAGGAATCCGGTCTGATTGCAGCGAGCAAGCACGGACCAGTGCAGGAATCCTCTTACAGCCGTCTGCCAGCCAGGAATGTGATTCTGAGTTGTGATGTCACCAACGCAGAGAGTAACTCCTTACAATTAACGCTGATTTGAAGGTTTTTATCGGCTTACTGAAATAGTTAACCTCGTGGCATCTCGTTGCAATTTAAACGAGTTTTCTTAAAAGCAACAGTTGGATCAAAATAAACGTTTTAATGTCAAAAACATGCGGTGTTTAGAAAGGAGTTTAAAAATGAAGACTTTGCCACATCTTCTCCGTTATTAGACCAAATAAGTTTTAGTGTGCTCGTTTTTTCTACTTGTATTTTTAAGTTGTTACTGTAGAAGATCAGTCAAACTTTCTGCAGAATAACATTTGACCTGTAAAGATACACATCTTTGTATGAGAGGCGTTTACAGCATGTGTTGGATTTTTTATTTTTTTAGATTCCTTTCTAAAACTTTATTCTTTTAACGAGGCGGGACATCACGGAGGCTTTGGGGAAATGAAGTTTCTGGTTTGTGGTTAATCAGATGCTATGGTCTTTCTTTTGATCACACCACTGTGAAATGTGATTCTGCTGCGAGTGTTGCTCTTGGATTAATGATTAAATCGACTAGATTGTCAGAAATTGGGCCAGTATTTGTTTAAACACTTACAGGAAATCATTTTAATTGCCCACAAATAACACACCTAATGACAATATACTGAAACCAGCGTCCTACAAAGAGAGAAAAAGCACAGTTTTGTGAAACACTTAAAGGAACCTTAAGAAAAATTGAGACGTACTAATACTACAACCCCTTCAATTTAAAAATAAACTTTTTTTTATGTGTTTAATTTAAAGAATAGACTCAGATCCTTAAAGTTTGCAACGTTTCTGGGAATTTCAAGCTCTAACCCTGGAGATCAGTGAAGCTTGAGGCCTGTTACGTCAAACGGCTAAATGGTTTTTGTGTTTGTGTTCAAACTGATAAAATCAGGGCTGCGTTTAAACAGTCAACTGAAACCCTGAGCTAACAGGGATAATAAACATTATATCTATACTGCAAGCTCGCTTTGTAGTTGTAAAAAAAAAAGATAAAAACATTTATGCAAAAAAAAAAAAAAAAGACTTGCATGTAAATGCAGCCACTGACAGTAGCAGCTGAGTGAAGGGGTTTCTTCGGATGAAGTTCCTCAGGGCGAGGCGGAGAAAACGGGCCTTGTGCTGCTCGATTCATCGGGCTGGACTGGGCACAATGAGGGCTTAGCTGATGGAGGGACCTTTATGGGTAAATTGAGGCATTTAAAAAGAAGCTCTGTTCAACGGTAACCTGATCCACACCTGACTCAAGCTCGGCATTCCAGTGTGTCCGAGGGAAGAGTTCACAATGACCAGCAGACCTGCCACAAACAGCTCCAGTGCTCCGCAGATCTGAACTTTACCAACGATATTTAAAAACATCATTGTAAAAAGAAAAAAAGTGAACAAGAGACCGATTTTAAAATTTGAACCCATTTATTTATTTTATTCACATTACAAACCACTTCAACGCAATATATAAACTAGCAGAAAGAAGCAAAATAAATTCTGCTGTCGCAGCGCGAAGAAGAAAGCAGATCTTTTATTGGCAACACATACATTTTCTCAACCAGCTATGTTCAATAAAAACGGTTTTAGATTAGCTAGAGACATCCACGACTGCTGCTTACAGGAGGAACTTTGACTCGTGTCACATGGAAGAAACCACAAGAAATCCATCCATCTTCCAGTGCAAGGATCATAGTTCCATAGTCATCATCATTCAACACCATCTGCCGCTACGTTTAATATGTTGATGTGTCTCCCTGGTCTGCCTTTTGTCAATATGCTGCATGTCAGATGCACAGAGCAAGAGGAGGGGAAGTAAGAGAGCAGAAGGTAATGCCATTTAATGGACGGCATTACCAGACAGTATTAGACACCAATAATTACATCTAACCTTGTCTGGTAAGACGCCTATCAACAGGCTGGAAGGATGACCTCTGACTTTTCATCTGTGCAAAGAGGAAGACGAGGGCTGGAGGAAACAGAACAGCATAGAAACAGGTTGAAATGAGCAGTTCCTCTTTTTTTTTATTTTGTTGTTCTTGCAGGTTCTGACTCAGAACAATGTACTTTCTGTCATTTAAACTGACCGAGCATGCAGATAGTAAGTAAATGTAGAGGAAACAGATATAGAAAAAAAAGGTTAAGCTTGGTCAGGCTCACAGTCCTTCTACTATATTCATACAAAATATGTGGCAACAACACAAATGTGACAGATTACAGGAGACGACTGAAAGACAAAAAGACGTTTTGTGTTGCAGCGTGGATAATAGAGCCGGGTGGGCAAATAAAGGTGCGGTTTAAAATGTGAGGTATATCTCCCTCCTTTAACAAACACCGTGGTTCTATTTTTCTATTGTTTGCTTTTAAATGCAGACTGTAGACATTAAAGTTAGATTTATGTTCTAAAAGGGCTAAGATGAAGAATCTATATTTCCATCTCTTTAAGGTTTTCAATGAACAGCAAGTGATCTCATTTAAACTTGTTGTTTAAACTGAAAGCTGGGAGAAAGTGTCCGTTTTAAATCCTGTTGCACCGTTCTCAGGTGAGCTCGTGTCCGTTTCAGGATGTTCCACGCAGGTAAAGCTAGGTGGACCAATCGCTGCCGTACAGCACAAAGACCAACGCTGTTCAGGGGAGGGAACAAGGAAACGAGGCCCTGCAGGACCGGTGGAACCATCAACCGACTGCTATTCTTTAACTTGGGCGGGGTGAGGTTGCCATAAAGGTTTTTTTTTCCCTCTCTTTTCAAAAGCAGTGTCATAAATTGAGGCAAGGTAAACACGTAAAAGCAAATATTGAAGCATCTAAAAAACAACCTGTTTCTATTTTATTTAATTTAAAAAAGCTTGCACGATATTGGTTTGTTAACAAACTAACTGTGACCATTACATAGTCTTCTTTTTTTGTTGTTTTAAAGATCAACAGTACATAGCAGTGTAGCCTGGGGTTGTTAGGATGGAAGTTCAATGTGAACAAAAGAGAAAAAGTGCACACCTTCTTTGGAATTACCTTCGGGGTAAAACGCTAGACGTTCGTCTAGGAGCGAGCTCTCCATTTTCGGTTTACAACGCTCAGCGCTTCACACATTTGAACTTGTCATTAACCGTGCTGCAGTTTAAGGAGAAGCTTTGAAGATCCATAGCTGCCCAGAAAACATCGTTACCAGACAGTGTTAGAACAACAGTTGTACAATCCAGCACTGTCGGGTAAGATGGATCCTGGGAGCCATTTCCGTCGCCGCTCGTGTGCTTTTACCTGATCCAGGGCCAAGAGGAGCACGGTGCCGCTAACACCGCCAGAGTAGTTTGTCTGGTTCCAGTCGGCAGATGAATATCATCATCATTACCAGGCAGTATTAGAGAAAGTGATGATATCCAATGCTGCCTCGTAAGATGGAGATAAACACCCAGAAATGTCTACGGACTTACTTAGGGTTCTACTTGTAGATGATCAAGCGATGCATTCTTTTAATAAAAGGTTCAATAAACTCTTAAGAGTTCAGTTTAAAAGAAAAAATGGGAATGCAACCATTATTTTAAGATGCGTTTCTTAAACCAGCCCACTCTCAAAGTACTAAGTTACAGTATGAAGGTTAAGCTCAAGCTGAATTATGTATTGCGTAAAAACAGCTTTGCAATTTGAAATGGGGAAGCCCGTTGTCGTAGAACGCCCCACCGTTGAGTAACCGCTGAACCCTTGTTGGGGTTTACAGCTTCAACCGGCTGTCACAGAAAAACCTGACCACAGAGGTTGTTAATGATTGCCAAAACCTGTTCTGACTAGTCTAACTATGGCACAGTAATGTTGGGAGGGCTGCTCTTCACACAATACATGGCTGTAAGTCATTTCAAAAGTGTCACGCAGTCTAAAACCCGTCACCCCCACCCCCCACCCCAGGGTGCTGGTTCTGTTGCGCGTCGTTCTGTATCCCAGACAGATGGGCGACGTTAAGGTACAGCGTATTATTTTGATGATCATGAGCATCTTTCAACGGATGTTTTGTGCAGCCAGAGAAGAAAAGCTGACTTTTTTGTTCAGTTTTCCGCTGGCAGACCTCTTAGGCCGTTGTCTTTGTGTTTGCCGTGTGATGAAAGGCTGATGGAATGCTGCTCGGCTCGACCTGAGCCCACAGCGTGTATGCAGAAGGTCGTTTACTCGCTTACTGAATAACGCAGATCATTCACAGGTACAACGCGTGAAATACTCACACCCCCAAACGGACAATTTTGGTTCTTGAAATGTAGCATTATAGCCACCAAATATATGATTCAAATTGTTTTTTAAAAAAATCACTGAATACCTTTTCTGTTTGTAAAATATTCACGCCTTATTTGGTTTGTTAAGAAAGAACAGGTTTCCAGTCACCCTGAGAATTTGGGGGAAAAATGAGGGGGAAGGAGAAAGGAAAAAGTTTAAGGGAGGGAAATTTTCAGGATAAAGAAGGTGGAGAATGCACCTGTAACCTTACCGTCATGAAAGGTACCCCACAGAAAGAATGCACCAAAACCAAAGTAAAGAGAACATGTTTGGAGGGAGGGGGGGACTGAAAAAGAAAGAGAAAAAAGATCTTGAATTTCCAGCCCGCTGCCCGAGAACGCTCCGTCTTCCTCCCAGCCAGGCCGGCCCCATGAAATGAGAAAGTCAAGCAGACCTGCTCTCCCAGACTCTTATTTAGTTAATGATCAGCATTATAAACCCGTGCTGCAGGCCCTCTGAGGAAGAGAACAGGAAGAGAAATACAGAAAGAGTGGAAACAAAAAAGGTTAGCCCAGAAAATTCAAGCTGGTAAAAGTAACAATACCTGTTCAATTGTTTACTTCAACCAAAATGTCCAGCCACTTTGTCTTCCATTCGTCCAAAGGCTTCCACTTCTGCTTTTACGCGCCAGAGTTTTTCCCATTGTTGCACATCGTGCTCCGAGCAGTGGGAGTTTCAACCGCTTACGGCTGCCCACACTTTCTGCTCGCTGGTAGTGAGGCGTGATCAGGTAACTCTGCCCTCTCTGCTGGAATGTGACTCTGCTGTGAAATGAACAACCCGATAGGTAAACTGGCCTGGCCCTTAATCAATAGTTGCAGTCTTTGTGGGAAAACAATGGCGGGGAAACCCAAAACCTTATTTAACTCCTGGCCGTACCTGAACGCGACCTAACTGGCCCTTCAGCCCAGCAAGGAGCACCATGGCAACTCTATTTGGGTCAAGGTGCTGTTTATCTAGCTATTGGTTTTTAATGTAAGGTTAGTGATGTAGTAATTTACATATCATTTGGTTGCTCCACCCTTATCCCCCCTCACCCACCCATCCCAAACCTCATCCCTTTCACTGCCTTGGCGTCATTTCTCTTCTCTGCTTTGAATATTTCAAATGAGCAACCAAAACGTTCAACTCATTTGCCTCTTTGAGCGCGTCCTTATAATTGAGCATAATCCCTTTACAACTGCTCTTTTAGCTTGCAGCTTTAAAAAATATATATTCAAACTTTTTTTTTTTTTTTTTATAAAAAATTTAATGTAATAAATTATGTGCTCTAAAAAGTCTGCAAAAATCTTAAAAATAGTTAATAAACTTTAACCATTGCCCTTTTTTATTAAGTTCTACATAATGTAAAAAATATATAGATTTAAAGTTTAGTATTTCAAACTATACTGCCCAAGGATTGATGCTCTTTAATTAAAGAGTAAACTAAATCCGAAGGCCCTGCCTCCTAACGCTGTCGTTCACCATACGTCACGCTTTAAATTAACCTCCAGAGGTGATGAGAGATAAACGTTCCCTTGAGATCAAACTTTTGACTCCATCTTGAATACAGCCAACAAAAGAAGAAGTTTTCCTCTCTGTCGAATTTCAACCTCACTTCCTGTTCCGTTGCCATAAACAGCAGCTCTCATGTGACCGGCAGCTATTCAGGTGTATGAAAGAAAAGAACAAATGTGTCTCTCCACCAATCACAACCCTCCACCTTGCGCCGCAGTCGTCACCGTACAGTATTCGGTCGACATTTTCCCTCCATTTTCTCCTTCTCCTCCCCAGACTTCCTCGATTGTCTACCGCTTGAAAATATCGTTGACGGCGGCCTGGAAAGTGTTTTAGTGAACGCCCGCTCTGTGAAGTCCAGCCTAAACTTGCAACTCTACCTTTAGAGGCAGGAAAAAAAAAAAAAAAAGCGAACGAGCAGACATTTTACGTCCGACTCACTTCCACTTCTCGACAAGACGAGAGACGCAGGCAGAGTTCAGCCGACTCTCCATCTTGAAACAAAACACAAGCAGTAACTCGTCAAACGAGGGAATAAATACCTTACCGCTAAAGTTCTCAAATCTAACAGGTCGTAGAAAAAAGTTTACAGCTGCTTCAAATAAATAACAGCCGCTGCTGTTAGATGTTTGTTAAGCTGTCCCGTACGGTAGTTGTGTAGATGTGTCCCGGTGAAGCTCATATTAAGGCTGTAAAAGCGAGTCGGCTTCTGTCTTCATGTCCTTTGACAAGTCTGGCAGTTTGCCTTCACCTGCCCCAACTGGTCTATCCAGTTTTGGAGCGTTGGTGTCTATTGTTTCGTGTTCTTTTCTTTTCTCCGTTTAAATGGAGCTGGAATTTGATACATTACTATTTTCGCCTTCCGTCGAAACTACCTAAACCCTCCTTTATTCGCGTGCGAACGCCGACGGCTCCGTGCGATGACCTACTTTGCTTGCCACACATTTTGCATTCAAAGCCTAACCCCCCCCTAAAGTTTTAACTGTTGTGCCGTTGAGCAACAAGTCACGATGACAGCTGAAGACTTTAAGATGGAGAAGAGAGACAAAGAAGGAATCACGTTTGTGATTTTTTTTTTTTTTTTTACCCAGTCTTTCCCAGGTGCGGTCACCGAGCCAGAAACCCAAGACAAGGGGCATCATTGTATCAGGGCTCTGGACGCCCCCGTTGGCTAGTCTTCCTCTTTCCTGCTCTCGCTGAAGGACAGTTGACCTCTGGAGTGGTGAAAAACAAGAAGAAGAAGAAGAAGCTGTCCCTCTCAGTTTGATGCCGTCGACAAAAGAACCGAGCCCTGGATGGAAACCAACCGTGTCACCGATCTTCCCTTCGCTGAAGCAAAGCTTGTTTTTTTTCCATGAGTTCTCCTCGGCGGTGCGAAGCGATTAAGCTCCTCCAGAAGACAGAGGCTGAGTTTGTAAAGGGCTTGGTTTACATGTACTCTGACCCCCCACCCCCACCCCTCCTCTTTTCCCCCACAGGTGTAATTTTCAGTTTCCAGCCAATCTCCTTAGCCTCTGGCGTTCACAGGTGTGTCCCTTCAGCCAATGATCGACGAGATGAAACTTTGCCCCCACAGCTCCTCCCACCCTCCGACTCCCACCTCACCTGTTAGTTCACCTCCACCCTCCCCATCAGCCCCCAGGTACCTTGTTGTGTTTTTTTATGATGTCAGCTCAAGCTTCTGTGGGAACGACCTCCTGCGTTCATATTACAGCGCGGACAACTAAACCTCCATCAGCCCACAATGCCGATCACACCCATCTCATCTTCGCGAAAAATATTCCACAGAACCTATAAAGTGCACGAGTAAAACCTTTTACAAACCTAAACCTGTAAGGTAGTGTTGCACACATCAACCTTTACCTACTGTCATCTGCATAGGCCCGCCATAACCTGAAATACCTGCCCTTTGCTCTTGCGACTTCCCCTCACATCTCTCCGCGTCCAAACGCCTTTTCTTTGTCCCGCAACAATAAACCAGCTGAGTTACAGTGAGAACAGCAGGCGAACAAAGTGCAGGTGAGTAAAACCTGAGAAAGACACACAGGCAGTTTTAGGTCAGTTTGAGGAGCAGGAGGTGGAGCGGTGACAAAAGGTCGGGTGGAGATTTGACCCCCCCCCCCCTCAAGGCCCAACAGGGGGCCGAATCCAAAGCCGGGCCTGGGTTTAGCTGGATGCTTGGCAAGGCGGTCACTTTCGGTCCCGAGGTGTAATTGTCGGGATTAGACCCTCAACAATGAGCACAATGCCAGAGATGTATCCTGTTTCCACAGAGGCGTGGTGGGGGCTGCTGCAGAACCG